CAGATTACACATTGATAGAGAAAACAACAGAGTAAATTGTCTGGAGACATTAGACTTTGATAGTGATCATAATGCCATTAAAATTATCGTCTCTATGAATAAATACGAAGAATTTACATTCATATCTGAGCCCCATATATCAAAATACAACTATAAAAACACTAACTGGAAAAAGTTTCAGAACAGGATAAAAAGTAAATTAGGTTACAAAATTCCAAATGATAGAAATCTCTCAAATTTTGAAATTGACACACACGTTTGTAGACTTGATTATATAATTACTTCAACTATAGATGAAATCACACCAAAATTTAAAAATTTTGACTTTCTTTCAGAAAAAGCTAATTCAACTATAAAAAAACTTCACACAGAAAAAAGTAAAATATTAAATTGTATTAAAAAACACAACAGATTAGAGCACACTCTTCCACAAGCTACTCTAAATCTATTGAAAGTCAAGTTAAAATTAATAAGAAAACTCATTAATGAAAATTTTCAGGTAATAATTAATAAACATATTGAAGATAAATTAACAAATCTAGATCCTAAGGATTCAATAAACATGTTTAAAAACATAAAGAAGAATTTTAAGAAAATAAAACCATTAAATCTTCAAAATATAAAAATACCACAACATTCAGAATACCTTTTAAATAGAGTAGGAATATCCCCCAACAACCTGGAAAAGGACAATTTAGACAATTTTATAATTAGTGATCAAGAACAAATGTTAGATACTGTTGGGGCATTTCTGGAAAATATACACGCACAAAAACCAATAGACTTAAACAACAACTTACATGTTCAAGTCAATAATTATTTTAACCAGTTTTTAGATTTGAAAAATTCTTATGAAAATAACCAAACTACATTAACAAATTTTTGTACAAATAAGACATCTGATAATTTAAATGAATCTCAAGCAGAAAAATACTTTATTACAAGAGACCAAATACAGTATATTTTCCACAATTTAAAAGGTAAACTATCTTCTGGTATTGATAAAATACCAAATATTGTATTAAAAAACATTCCTGATGAAATGATTTTTGAGTATTGTAACCTTTTTAATAACATGCTAAATAACTCCTATTTTCCAGTTAAATGGAAAGAAGCTAAAGTGGTTTTGTTGCCAAAAAAAGATAAAGATACAAGCGACCCAAAAAATATTCGGGCAATTAGTCTACTTCCCAATATAAGTAAAATATTTGAAATATGCATAAACAATAATATTCATACATTTTGTACTGATTCTAATCTAGTAAGTGAGAAACAATTTGGCTTCAAATATAAACATTCAACTATAAATGCTATAAATTTACTTACATCAACCATAAACTGGAATTGGAATAAGAAACTATGTACAGGAGCTTGTCTCATAGACATGGAGAAAGCCTTTGATAGCATTTGGATTGAAGGTCTAATTTTTCAGTTGAGTGAGTTTAAATTGCCTATGCCACAAATCATATTAATCTACAATATGATCAGCAATAAGAAGTTTAAAGTTTCACATATGAATAACCTAAGCAAAAACACATTTACTATTATTAATGGTCTACAACAGGGCACGGTAAATTCACCAATTCTTTTTAATTTATTCATATTGAAACTGTTAAACAAAATAGAAAACATTATATCCTTTGCAGATGATATAATAATATATCATGCTGACAATAATATTGAAAAAATCAATCAAAACCTCCAAAAAAACTATGATATAGTGGAAAAGTTTACTATTGACTGGAATATGAAAATTAATACACAAAAATGCGAGACTATACTATTTAGACCTCCAGTAAATAAATGTAATTATAATATAAGAAAAAATTGGAAACAATTTGGTATTAAATCAAATTTAAATAATATTCAAATTCCAAACAAGGAAATAGTTAAATACTTAGGTATCTATTTGGATAAATTCTTATATTTTAACAACCATATTAATGAAATATTATTTAAAGCTAAAAAAGCATTTTTTCTATATAAACCATTATTTTACTCGAAATTCATAAAACCCAGAGTAAAAATTATAATGTACCAAACATTAATAAGACCAATCATTACATATGGTTGCCCGATTTGGTTCAATATTTCTCCATCCTACATGGAAAAGTTGAGAGTGTTTGAAAGAAAGTGTTTAAGGGCTTGTACGAATAAATTTAGATCATCTGAAAGTAATTATATAAAATATATTTCTAATAAAAACTTATATTACTATTCAAATATTATGAGAATTGATAATTTTATTATATATTTAATAAGAAATCACATAACAAGATGTACAACAAATACAGAAAACAATCTAATAATGGCTCCATTCTACACGAATGAAGAATATATTATCGATATATTGGAAAGAGGTTTTGTACCTCCTGAAGCCTTTTTATACTTAGATAAAATAAATTTGATTCAAAATGAAAATTGTGTCCCAATATTTTATCATAATTTTAGAAGGGCTAATATAAAAGCAGTTTATTGCAACTTAAATTCAAATGATACAAGATATAACACAATGGTGGGAAATAAAAAACTTTGTAGATTACAAAGATTAAATACTAAAAAATTTTGGTGGCTAAATTAATAACGTGTTATATAATTCCTTTTATTATTTGACATTCTTTTAAACTCTTCCAATAAAAATGTAATGTTTTTTTTAATTTTTCATTACAATAAGCATAATATATTCTTTATTCAAAGAAAATAATACATTAATATTTAAAAAAAAAAATAGAATAATTATTACCGATAATACTCGAGAGCTCAAATATGGGACTTTGTATATTAATAAATATTATTATTAACTAATGTTTATATAGTTTATGTATTATTAAAAAATGAAAATAAATAAACGATAAAAAAAAAAAAAAAAAGTATATTATATGGAAGATACGTATTCTCTTAAGAATCAAGATTTCTTCAATGGTTTGAAGAGGTCTTAATATGAAAACAAATTTGTTTACTCAACGCATAGGCATCTGATATGCGGCATCTATAACTTGTTTGATAGATCTCATCTCAGATAAAATGTCTGCAGGACATGAACTTGTTTGAGCCAAAACCTCACACATAGATCAATCACAGAGTTAATGCCCAGAACAGAAGTTCCCATCGGTTTTATTACGTACTCCATGAGTAATTTATTTAATATAGGTTTAAATTGTTTAAGTCGTTATATGGATAAGATCCACAAATTGTGCTACTTCTTTTGAACTATTATGTGCTAGTTTAAAAGAAGTAGATTTGACCGAACTTGTGAATACTTCAGGGAGATTTCATGTCTATTCAAAGTCTCGTTCATTTGAAGAAATTTCTGGACAGTTATTGGGAAAGACTTCAGTTAAAATAACTCATTCTTATCCGGAAGAACTTTCGTTACCACGAGCTTTTTCCCATTATCAATATAACGAGCAAAGTTTCTTAATCTATGACCCATTGAGGTCATGACTTGTACTCTAAGCACCTCAGTTGTCTCGTACATCTGAATAACTATCTCGACGGTCTTTAGGAAAAGCTTTAGTTAGTAGTTAGAATAACTCTTTCTTATGTGTAAGAACTTTCGTTACCTCGGGCTTTTTCCCATCATCAAGAAAGCGAACAAAGTTTCTTAACCTATATCCAATCGGGTAATGATTTGTACTCTAAGTACCTCAGTTAATGTTACTGAAGTTATAAGAAAGCAAAGTTTCTTAATCTATGACCCATTGGGGTCATAACTTGTGCTCTAAGCACCTCAGTTGTCTCGTAAATCTGAAGAAATTTATGGACGGTATTTAGGAAAGGCTTTAGTTAGGAATTAGAATAACTCTTTCTTATGTGTAACAACTTTCGTTACCTCGAGCTTTTTCCCATTATCAATATAACGAGCAAAGCTTCTTAATATATGTCCCATCGGGTAATGACTTGTACTCTAAGCACCTTAATTTCTCTAATTTTTCTGAAGTTAAAGTAGTGACAACCAAAGTTTTTGGTATCGTGAATTACATCGATTGTTGCAACTTTTCTTTCTCAACTTTTGAGAGAGAAAGAAATTAGCTTTAGGTTAAGAAGGGTTATGCATATTCATTAAGTTATCACATGTCCCTCATGTAAAGCCCAGTCAAAGAAGTGACTAATTCCCTTGACAAAACCTGAGTAGACTGTGAGGGTTAAGTCACGCAATTTCCCCCAGTTCGCCGTGGAACCTATCCCTAGCTATTTCAGCCTGAGATTGTGTATCTTAGGACATTGGCAAATTATATGCTCGATCGTCACTACTTCCTCCTTCTTCTTCTTCGCATAACCTGCAAGTAGTCGGGTATATTACTATCCCACTAGGCTCTAACTAAGCAATACCCCGTTAGCATTGCTTTCACAATCTTTAGACTGCGTCTCTCCAGTCCCTATAAGTATTTTCCTTCTATCTGGTAGAAAGTGTTGGAAATAACACAATTTTCTCTTGCATTACGATTACATTATCCAGTCTATATAAGTATTTTTCTTCTATCTGGTAGAAAGAGTTGGAAATAACACAATTCTCTCTTGCGTTGCGAAGTTACTCGTATTTTGTACATTTTGTTTTCTCATTCGTACAAAAACAAAGCAATGCAAAGTGCCGGTTTGATTTTGTGTGTGAGAGAAAGAAATGGTTCATATTTCTTTCTCTTTCTCTCACACACAAAAATCAAAAGTTTTCGCTGTGTGAACCGGCACAAAGTTGCTGAAATGCTTAGTTGCCAAAACAAAACTTTCTCTGTGTGAACATTAAGGCAACTTTAATAGAGAATTAAGAAAAAGTTGAGCTATAAAAGTTGCTCAATATGAACTGAGACTTGAAGTCCTTGTGGATCTAATAGGTGATTAGAAGTTAGAGTTACAAATAGTTTGTCGTATATGTATGTGATCGATGTCGTAGTTGCAATAATTCCCAACTTCCTTAAACACTTCCGACTTATTTTCAAAATAGCTTAACTTAGAATTTAAAGATTTTTAATAAAGATTTAATAATTAATGTTAATACTTACAACGCAAGCCTTAACAGACTTCCAAAGGTTTTTTACAAAGTCTTCAATCTTGCTGGTTTTTTATTGAGACAAAATAACTTTTTTTCCTGTTACGTTGCAGAGCTTTTCTTCTTTACACGATCTGCTCAAATTTGTTTTTTGTTTTTAACTTGAAGGCGAAGAAAAACACGTTTAAAATTACGAAAATAAAACCGTTACTTTAACACACTTAATTCTCTAAAAGATCTCCTTTTGTACTCCTTTTAACATCGACGATATAGTCCCTCTTTTTGCACACGTTTCTGATTATTTTCGGAATAAACCCTTTTGACACACGTTAACCCTTTAAGGATGATATTTAAGGCGTGGTTTGATTTGTTATAAAAGTTGTTGTTGTTTTATTTTACGTTATAACAATTATAGAGTCACATTTTTTTGGGGGGAATTTTTAACTGTTTTAAATCTTAAAGAATTGTTTTAAATTTTGAGGATTATTTTTAAAATTTTAACACTTTTTTTTTGGGATTTTTATATAGAAGTTTTTTTTAGAAGAAGTTTTAGGGTTTTTTGTTGTTGTAAATTTTATATAATTTATTTAACTTTAATTTTTTTCTTAACTTTATACTGGCGATTACGCTGATCTATGGCAAAATCATATCGCGATCTCTGCACATTTTCGCTAATTAAATAATAATTATAATTGCTGAATAGGCCAAAAACGTTTAACGAATACGTTTTGCCGAACTTAAGAGAACGCTCGCTATAAGAAATAACGCTTAAAAGTGACGTTTAAGCGTTTTATGTTTAAAAAGGCGATAGTTATTCTAGTTAAACTTAACTGTTAGCAGTTAGCAGATGATTGTATAAAGGGAGTGTTGATTTTTAGTTTAAGGCTGATGTTTGTTGTTGTAATGAATTTCGTTATAAATAACGCATATGTTAGCTTAAGCTTTAGTTAATTATTTGTTGTTGTTAACTCTCTAGCGTAGGTGTAGTTTATGGTTATTAGTTGACCGTTTTAGGACAGGATAACTGGCGTTTTATATCTAGTTAATGAAAGTGATAGTTGATGGCTGAGTAGTAGTAAGTGTAACGTATGATATGACAAGCTTAATAGAGAAAATATAAAGAAACTATTATTATTCGTATACTATTTAGTTTTTAGCTTTTAAACTTTTACAGCTCTAATTCTCGCTCTCTCTCTTTCTCTGTCGTTCTCTTGCCTATAGATGTTTATTCACGTTCTCTTACTTTCTTTCTTTCGCTCTCTCTCGTCCACCACTAGTTATGGCTTTTATTTCCAGCCCTTTTACCGTTACTTTTGCTTTATTTACCGTTAGTTACTCACATTTACTTCTTTACTTATTTTTCTTTTCCGCTAAAGTTGTTTAGATATATAGCATACTTTTAGGCTTATAAATAATATTTTTTTGTTATGTGTTTTTCTTATTATAATTAAATTAACAATTTAACGTTGCTTCCCGTATTTTTATTTTTATAAATATTTGCGAGCCTTAAGGTCTTTATTTTGTTGAAAATTTTTGTACCCGTTTTTTTGTAAAATTTTTATATTTCCACAATTTACGGTTGTTTTAAAAAGTGTGTCGACACCAATCTGTATCTCAACATGGATTTGTTTTCGTAAAGTTTGTGTTTAAAGGGTGTTTTTTAGTTTAAAACAATTTGTTAACAACTAATTTTTATAGTTTTTTCTTTTATTATAAAAGCCATTTAAATGGGGGGTTTTGTTTTATATATAAATTTAATTAATTTTCTTTTGGTTTTGTTTTTAATTAAACTTTTTTAAAAAATATAATTTTTCTTTTAAAACATTTTGTTTATTTTATTTGTTTAAGAATTTATTTTGAGTTTGTTTTTTATTATTTATTTAGTTTCTGGTTTTTATCTTTTGCTGCTTTTCTTTTGTATTTATATTTAAATTGTCATTTGTTGTATTTTATTCAGCTTTTTTTCTTCACCACCAAACGCTTTATTTAGTTGGTCTGATAAAAGTTTTCTGTTGCTATAAAAAGAAGAGAGTGAGTAAGGTCGGTTTACAATAAAAACAATAGTCATAGAAGGCAAAAACAACAAATATGTTATAAAATTAATAATAATGAAGAAGAGTAAAAGCATACAGGGTTGGAAAACTATGTACTTAATATGTCATGGCAAATGTAGTTGAAAATATGAAAATATTCATTGTATTAATGAATTAAACGCAAGTGCAAACTTGCAAACAAATCCAGATAAAAAGCTTTAGGAATATGGAGTAATAACAAAAAGGCAGCTTAAAAAGTTTTAAAATGCGAAAAAGCTCTACATGAACAGCGTCTTTGTTCTAAGCTTCTTACTAATCCTAGGACACCACCGTCCCATTGTGCTCCATATAAGCAGGTGGCCATTTACGTATATGGAAATTCCGGTTCAGTAAACGTGCACTTTGCTCAAATACTTGAGCTATCTAATCTCTGGCCATTGCTGCACCGTTGCTTAACTTTCGAGATGCAAAAACATCACTTCCGTTTACAACCAGGCAGATGGGATGACTTCTACTGAGTCGGCAACAGCACCTAGAGACGTAACCGATACACCGAAGTACGAATTCATCAAATATGCTGAGACTTTGTTCTTACAGTGATACACTGTGGAAAATCTGGTATGAACAGAGTTTACTCTTAACATACCTGGACAAGGAAGGAAAATTCAATGGTATCACTTGTATAAGATACCTTTCGTCTAACACCATTCAAGCCTGCACACTTCCCATTTATCCGACACACTCATAAGAGAACAATATACGACGGACTCACACTAGATATAAGGGCGGATGAGATCCGTATACCCCTACATTCATCTTGTATCGTATACAGCTTAATCCCACAGTCACTCCTCTGTGGGGTATCTGTTGTCATTCGGCAACAGCACCGAACTTATCCCGAAATATAGATTTCACTGTGCATCAGTATTTTAACCGCAACTTACTCTTCAAGCGAATTTGGGTTTAAACCACAGCCACTACGTGGATCCCGAAGGAACCTCAACCAACTGACCAGACAGGACATAGTTCTGCGGGCAACTGGCCACCCATAGTACCAGCTTATGGGGTCAGAATCATACCTAGGACTAGCCGAGGAGTTAAGTGTAGGTCTTTTGGTCGTTCGTTATAAAGTGTAGAGCTTGAAAGGGGTACCAAGAACTATGCCATTAAAAGAATTTTGGTTGACCTCAACATAAAGTATCTTGGACTAAATGACACTGGTCTCTTGATAAAGCAAAACCTTTTAGCCAAATTATTCGCAAGTAATTTTTTTTTATCGGAAAGAAAATCAACAACTGCCCGAGCTCGAAAGGTTATCCGTGACTATCCTTAGCATTATATACCATGCCGGTGAATTTCTTGCACATTGGAAGAAATGCTAATTCTTAAAACGCCATTTCCTAAAAAAGCAGAGGTTAATAATCCTAATCATTAGCACCCATTTGTAATATGTTCAGCCCTTTCCAAAGCCATGAAAAGTATGTTAAATTTCCATCTAGTCACATATTTAGAGTCCAATAATTTACTTAGCAACCGTCAGATCTACGGAAAATCTTCCGCTACGAAAGACCTTTTATCGCAAGGTTCTTTCACCACTTTGGTGAAAATAAAAATGATGGATCGGAATATTTTCAAGACATTCGATAGAGTGTGGCATGGTGCACTTCTATCAAAACTAATGGCAGTTGGTGTAGGATAGGTTGTTATAGATGGGATTTCATCAAACAAGTTCAAGATAATATCAGGAGCATTACAAGGCTTCGTTCATTTCCCAACTAACAGAGTAGATTTCAACGCCTGTAAAACTCAGTGCTGACCCTTAACTCATAAACGAACGGAACATCAGTGATGTTCTGAACATGACAATACATTGCAATGTCCACCGAACACATTTGTCATGTGCCGAAAGAAGCATTCTAGTACCTCGAAATCTCATAGGCTGGTCGGGGCTTCGAAGCCTATTTTGGAGAGGGTGAAGGTTCGTATTGGTAAGAGAAGGCTATTTAACTCTATTGATTCACTAGATCATCTTCACAATGTAGTGACTATATACATTTTCAACTTGACTATTGACTATTCTATGAACTGATCTATTGACTAGTTTATGAATTTCTCTATTAACTAATTTATGGACTAGCTTATGATTAGATCTTTTGATAAGTTTATTGACTAGTTTATTGAATTATTCATGAAATATGGAACAGTGTATACTTGATGAACTGGTCTATCGTCTAGTCCATCGACAAGTCTACATTAGATTCCTATAGCACTTGGTTAGGATTAAAAAATTAACTGTTTTTCTGACAAGCACCGTAATAACTACTATTAACAATCTCATTTGCTATCTGTTTAAATTAATAGGTAAGTTTAACCTTAGAATATCATATGGACTCCGAAATACAGCAGATATCTTCATTGGACCATCTCAGTTAAGCTTCATGTTGCAATCTGCACAAGTGACACCTCTAAAGGTGTCGATTTCTTCAACCAAAATCATCGCACCGGTCTTGGCTAATGAAATACAGCAGATGTCTTCATTGGACCATCTCAGTTAAGCTTCATGTTGCAATCTGCACAAGTGACACCTCTAAAGGTGTCGATTTCTTCAACCCCAATCATCGCACCGGTCTTGGCTAATTTTCACACATACCCTCACTCTGTGATCGAGAAATATGGTAGAAGTATGGTTGCTATCGATATATTCATCAAATTGCTATCGGTATGTTATCAATTTAACAAGTTTGCAGCACGGTTATTATTAGATATTTGGGCCTGAAGAAGGCTACAATAGTTCCATAATCTAAAAGTGGATTTAATCCAAACCCATGACTGGTGAACTAATTGATTTCCCAAGAGGAAATGACTTTTCTAAAATATAAAACTTTTAACAAGATTGTGCAGTCTTTTTAAAAAGGCAGATATATTAAAAAAGGAGGTATAGGATTGTAAAAGAACCTCCGTCGTTTGCTCTTCCATATGGGTACCAAGACATTCGGGAGTAATCTGCGACAAAATAGTTAAACCAAATGAATGAAAATCCATTTGAAGAAACGAATTAAAATTATGGGCGTTATAATCCTATACGGTCGCTAGGAATAATAAAACAGTGGGTAGATCCACAAAGATCTTATGGGGTAATCTCATGAGAAGGAGAAAAGCCTCTTCAAATTAAGCAAGCCCGAAGGTACGTATTCGAAGTGTATACACAGGATTACAGGCACAACAATTGTATGAAATGAGTCCGACGAATCAAGGAGAGCGGAAAGGAGAGTGAAACTCTGAAACCAACTCACAGGATTACAGGCACAACAATTGTACGGAATGAGTTAGACGAATCGAGAGCATGTGGAAAGAAGAGTGAAACTCTGGAAACAACTCACAGGATTACAGGCACAACGATTGTACGAAATGAGCCAGACGAATCGAGAGCATGTGGGAAACATAGTAAAACTCTGGAACATATACTTTGTCGTTGCCAGCCTTTCATCATATTAGATGCAAATGTCTTGCAAACGATGTTAATTCAGATACTACAGATCCCTCAGGAATACTGAATGCAAAATTCTAAGGATCGAAGTCCACGAAACTGATTTTCTGAACATCGGACAATAGTACTTCCATAGAGCACTATATAAGGTCTTTTCCTCCAACATTTTCAATGAGAAAGCTGCGCACAGCAGACCCGACAGTAGCCTAGTTGTATTTCTTGGGATCTCATGTAGTATACAACCTTCTTTCAACCTAACCTAACTGGTCTACACCCTATTATAAAGAACATTGATAAATATGGAATTTGTAGTTATGCAACTTCTAACACTCTGTCCCGTTTTTTAACAAAAATATAATTTTTCGCAAATTTACCCGAGTTGACTTAATATAAGGTCAACAACTATGTCCCAGTTCACACAGGGAAACTTTTGATTTTGTGTGTGAGAGAAAATATGAACCATCTGGTTCTCCCACACACAAAATCAAATGTTTCCCTGTGTGAACCGGCACTATGTAATATTTCGCCGATTGCACTCTGTCAAAGAACTTTTTTCGCAATAAAAAATTGTCAATTTTCCATCCCTGTCTGCAATATTATTTTAATATCTCATACAACAAAAATACGTTGTCAAAACAACAATCTGAAGAAAAATATACATACAACTCTTTTTTATACACCCCACACTATGGTTTTCAGTTGTTGTAAATTACGATGATGATGATGAAAAATCGGTAAAATTCACTCGTTTTTTCTTATTTTGTCACCGTCGTTTTACACAAAAAAATTTTTGAACAAAATATAAAATAAAACAAAATACTGACAAACACTCACAAAAACACACGCACACAAACACAAAATTTATGAACGACCAAGTAAGTCGTGGTTTTTCGTAAGGTTAAATCGTAAATCAATAAATAAATATTTCGTTTTGTTTTTTTTTTTTTTTTCAAACAGCTTTTCGTTTTTGGTAACACAATTTCCCAATTTATGCTTTTGTTTTACACTAATTATAAACTTGTTTTTTTTTAATAAATTTAATAAGATTTAATTTTTAAAGAAATTTCTTTCTAGTCACTCTCTAGTTTGAAGGCGAGACTATAAATAAATCTTCGCCTTAAATTATTTGCTTTAATTTAATTTGTTTCTTTAGATTTTTTTTCTTTTTGTTGTAATTTTTTTTTTCTTTTATTTAATTATTTTTTTTTTTTTTGTTTGCTTTTTGAGATTTTTTTTTTGCTTTTGCTATTCGCTAAATAAATTTTTAACCGTTAACACTCGTTTAGTCGCTTGTTACGTTATAGAATCACGATTTGTATCTGAATTGTAATGTTTAAGTTTGAAACAATTTTTGTGCCTCTTGCTCTTTGTTATAGTGTTGCTGTTGTTGTTGTTGTTGTAGATGACAACATGTTGTTCTCTTTTTCAATTTGTAATTACTCACGTTTCTCTCACGTTTTTTTGTTTTATTTTGTGCTTTAAACACGAACGAAATATCGCATTCCATAAATGTAGTCACCATTTACACTCACAGAGATTTAAATAAGGGCAATCTTTAGTCCATTATATAGAATTGCGTTTTAGTAAACATTTATTGAAGAAGAAGTCACGTACGGAACTAATGCTCCTACACAGAGGGAAAAGAAAATATACACGCCTGGTACCAAATTGACACCAAGGAGTTTATAGTTTTGCACTAACATCCGTTGTCAAAGTACGACTACATTATGTAATATTGGCCAAGCAACGTTACCGCTTTGTCACACTGGCTTTATAAAAGTGTGATTCATCTTTCTTAAGTATAAGTGGGACCTTGAGTACTACCATCCAGCAAGGCTCTGGAAACTTTGCTGAATATCACCCCAATTGAAACATATAAAGAAGGATAAGGGATATGTTTAAACTGTACATATCGGAGTGGACCGATAACATACTAAAGGAGGAATTTGTCGGGAACTTTGAGGCACTCAGATAGAATATCTTGGTCAAGCGGAACATTAGAGAAAATATCCGTAGCAATCTGTTGGTACAGAATGGATCAAACTGGGAGTCAACAAGGTCCTGAGAATCCAAATTGAAAACCCAGAAACCGAAATACCTAATTATAACGCTTACGCAGTAACGTAACCTATTCAGAACTAAAGCAACTTGAGACGAATGAAAACCGTTCGACGAAACGAGGGCCACGAGGGAATAATGAAACGATTGTCAGAACCCCAAAGATCCTATAGGTAAACCCTAACGAGCCTCCTTAGAATGAGTAAGTCAGAGTCTAGTATGATAGTACTTATTCTGAATAGATAAATGGAATCAGAATGATTAAGTCCGAATGTAGTATGATAGTACGTATTCCGAATATATACATAAAATCACGGGCACAACTATACAAACTTGAAGAAACAGATTCAGTCGAATGTGGACCATGCGGGCAGGATAGTGATCATGAAAAGATTTCATTCAAAATATTACATCTCTGCTTCCAGGAAACTGAGTTTCCGAATATTGGACGAGATATAGATGTTTTCCCCAAAAATTTGTCATTTTAAGAAGCGCACAACAGGAACAAGAGTAGCATAGGTGTATTTCTTCGGATCTAACCTAAATCAATACGAGATATATCAGTTTTACCCACAAAATTTTTCATTTAAAGATGCGCACAACAGGAACAAGAGCAACATAGGTATATATCTTCGGATCTAACCTAAATAAGTAGTTTCTAAATATTAGGTGTATAACTGAAAAATACGCGATTTTGTACATTTTCGGCGTACATCTTTCTGTAAACATTTTGGAGTGAAGCGTATTTCAGTGCGAGTATTTTTCCATTATTCAAAGTCTGATCTAAAGTCCGGGAAATTTTAGGAGCAACTTTAAAAGACCTTCCTTTTCATAGATTTCTTTATATCAATATCATATGACTCAAAGAATACGGAAGCTATACTCCATGTCCGCTTATACAAATTGACAGGGTTTCTTTAAAACTCCCGGGTCAATATAGTATTTTATAGACTGAAATATCTGCAATGGAGCAAATATGGTGATAGCTAACCTAAGAGCTATTAAACGTTTTTATGCGAGTCACAATCATGTTTTCAAATACTGGAATAGGGAAACACTCGGAACTGGAAATTTACTATATAATAGACTCACCTTGGTATTATTTCAATCTGAGTGGTATAGAGTGCTAGTGTTGTCGGGACTATAAACTGAAGCGGGAGTCGGTTACCCGCAGGATTATTGTTTTCGTTCCCTTGGGAGGGGGCGTGGTGGAAACCCAAATTACGAAAGATAATGTTGGTTAAAAAACTGATTCACGTTTTTGGGATAAATTTGATGCTTTTGCCGAGATCTCTTAGCAGATGGCAATGCGATTATTGGGATTATGTTGATATCAAAATAATATGATACAAATGTTGTGGCCACGTTCATCCTCATGAGAAAATGTGTTGCTTGAGTTCTCTCTTGAATTTGTTAGATAAAAGAGTTGTGGCATGGGAGGGAGGGATGTATCCCTTCTTTCTTTCATTCCTATAACTTATTTATTTGGATAATAACAAAAGAGTGTTAATTATGCAGGTCCATTTATTCACAAGATAAGAAGTTTTGATTTCTATAATGATCCAAGTATTTTGAATAGAGCAAAGAGGCAGACAATCCATATTAGGAATTAACGAACAGTAAAAATGTCTTTTCTAGAATAAATCTAAATATTATATTACGTGCGTTTTAATAAAATTCTAACTGAAAACTGATTTCTATATGAAATTTCAAAACATAAGTCTTATCAGTTAAGAGTCAACATTTCGTTGACGCAATATTAAATTAGATTATTATTATGAATGAATTTTATTAATAGAACCGAAAAACAAATTATTTATTCAATATTTTATGAATAGCACGTCAAGATCCCCAATGATTTTAAATGTTATATCAAAATGCAATCAGTAGGGAAGTACTGAAAAATTTAGCTTTTTTTTTCTTTGTATTATTTTCCTTCACAATTTTTTCCAATTCTACCCTTAATTGAATGTACCAGAGTGTATTAAGATATTCAATTGAACTATATTTATACACAAATACACATGTGTTTCGATATAAACAAAAAAAATAAGAATCTGTCATTTTACAAAGAGTAAACAAACAACAACTCTCTGCTTTTTTGAAGTACTCATGCGTAAAAAAAGTGAGTCAGATTAATTGTTGCCAGAGTTTTGGGGTTGTAAAAATTGCTGGATTTAATGGAAAATTTTCGGCTATTTAATAAAAAAAAATTTCGTGAACGCAAAATCACCTCAAAACTGTTCCTTAGAATCTTAGGTATTTATTAAAAAAAAATACCTAAGACACAATTATTTAAATTCATCTGGCAACTTTATATATAAAATACACTGACTCTGAGCATATATGTATTTTAAAGTTATGCTCCCACCGCTTATTAGCTCCACATCAGGCATGGAAAGTTGATAGTTTTAAGTCGTACAAATCGTTTTTTG